ACTATCTAGTTCGAGGAACCTACTTTCAAAATCTTGTTGAAAGCCTTCAAGGAAGTTGGTGATAGGCCACAGTTCAAGTTCAACACCCATAAACTGAAGGACGAAACTCTAAAGGACATCTTCACGTCAGTCAGTCATCAGGACAAAATGGGAGATATTGGGCGACATCCCTGAAGAAACCTGCGTGGAAGAACACTCGAACTCTTTGAAAGCTATGTGGAAAGAAACCTGCATAACCGTATTAGGAAGGAAGAGGAAACAAGACAAGGAACGGATCTCGACGGATACATGAAAGCTGACAGAGCAGTGAGAGTGAGATGGTGAAGCAGAAGATAAACCAGTACAGAGATGCACAACAAAAAGACGAACTGAGTACAACGTACAAAACACTGGACAAAGAAGTGAAAAAGAGTGCACGCGAAGACAAAAGACAATTCTACGACACATTGGCAAGTGAAGCAGAACAGGCTTCTGGTAGAAGAGACCTGACAACATTATATCAAATAACCAGGTTACTATCTGGGAGGAGAGAGATCAATGCAGATGAAACCAATGAAATACAGTGAAGGAAACCTGCTTAGCAAAGAGTAGAAGCAAAAGAAACAATGGACCAACCACTTCAAAATCTCTTGAATCGACAACAACCAACACCTGCACTTCGTCCAGAAATACCACCTGCAGCCACAGAACTACAAGTGAACACAAGCCCTCCGACAAAAGTCGAAGTCCTGAACGCCATAAAGCTACTGGAATGCGGGAAAGCAGCGGGACCAAATTGAATTCTACCAGAAGCACTAAGAACAGATGCAGGGACAACAGCGGACATGCTCATACCATTACTGGAAGGGAGGAAGGGAAGGTATCTGTCGATTGATTAGAAGGGCTACTTTGTCAAACTTCCAAAGAAGGGCGATCTAAGTCTTTGCAAGAACTGGCATGGAATCATGCTGCTGTCCCCGCCCACCTAGAGCAAGCAAAATATTATGCCGCATCATCCCGGAAAGGCTTAAAGATACTCTGGATTCATAATTACGACCAGAACAGACTGGCTTCAGGAAGAACAAATCATGTGGGGATCAAATTGCAACGCTACACTACGCATCATCATAGAACAGAGCATAGAATGGCAGTCAACTCAACTCTACCTCAACTTTATCGACTTTGAAAAGGCCCTCGACAGCGTTGACCGAGAAGTAATTTGGCAACTGCTCCAACACTACGGAGTGCCACAAATCTTTATCAACCTCATTCAACAGCTTTATGACGACGCCATATGCCAAGTGATCCACAATATAAAACTCTGTGACGCCTTTGAAGTGAAGACAGGAAGGAGTAAGACAAGGCTGCCTACTATCACCCATGATATTCCTGATTGTGGTGGACTGGATCATGCAGCAAACCGTGAGGAGTGAGAAGAGGAGTATACGCTGGACCGATGAAAAGAGCTTAGAAGATTTGGATTTCGCCAGTGATGACTTGTGTCTAATGTCACACAAACTTGAAGACCTACAGGGGAAAACTGACAAGTTGACAGAAGAAGAAAGGCAGCGAAGACGGAACTTCAAGTGAATGTAGAGAGGACGGAGGTGATGAAGATACCCAACCAACAACAGCATCAGCAACAAGAGGCACCAATCACCATCAACGGGAGAAATCTAAAGGAAGTAGCCTCTTTCACCTACCTAAGCAGCATCGTTTCAACTGCAGACGACACAGGCACAGACGAGGATGTCAAAACCAGGATCGGAAAAGCATGGCAGGCGTTCATTTATCAATCTGAAATCAGTGTGGAGATCTACTGCACTCCACTCTGCACAAAGAACAAGATCTAGATTCTCAACACCAACGTCAAGTCAGTGCTGCTATATGGTTCGGAAACCTGGGGCGTCACGAAAATCACTTCCAACAAACTACAGATATTCATCAACAGCCACCTATGCTGGCTCGATACTGAAGATCAGATGGCCAGAATAATAAGAATAAGCAACAAGGAACTCTGGCATGGTGACGAACCAAACAGAAACCTATTACCCAACGAATATGCAGATGAAAGTCGAGATGGATTGCATTGAGCATAAACTGAGAACGTCAATTGGAGACATCACGCGTCACGCCAGACCCTCGAGCGGAACCCAGATGAGAAACGACGAGTTTGGGGTTGCAGGGTGACATGGAGGAGATCGTGTGAGGAAGAAATGATAGCTTCTGGGCTGTTCTGGAGCCAGGTTCAAAAGATTGCAAAGAAGAGAGTGGAATGGAGGTTTGCTACTGAAGCCGTATGTTCCAATAAGAACCCAAGGGACAAATAATAGTAATAATAATAATACCCACTGTATAACAGGTGGCTTACGTGTCTCAGCAGCTGAGTGAATGTTCCTCTGGCGTTTGCAGTGACGCGAGCTGAGTTGAAGTCTCGGTGGGAACACCTCTGCTCATTGGGATGTAGTCAAATCCATCTGATGAGCCCTAATTGCGACGAAACGCGTATCCTGGATTACCCTTCAAGCCACTAACAAACAGACTGTAGCGTATGTAATATGTTGCCCTTGTGAATACAGACAAGTTTCAACGATGATCACTGGGAATTAAGAAGCCTATATTAGTAGTTCTGTGACGAATTCCTCTGAACAACTGAAGACGATAAATGTTAGTTATTATTCTACACAAACATATCTCCAGCTTTAGCTTTAATCAGCATACCATATCATGCCATATGTCTGGCTCTTCAACTTTCTTAGGTGAATAAAGTTTCAAGGTTATGCGTGAAGGAAGACTATTTTGGCAAATAATTTAGAATTTTCATAAGCTTATTCAGTAATCAATTTACTCAACAAGAAACTTCCTGTAAAAACCATCGGCATACGAACAGACTTTATGGAGCTTATTTGGTGGGGCGTGATTTCTGTGACATACTAAATTAACCGGTCAAAAAAAGTATCAAAGTTTACTAAAGATATCCAATGGACTACAGTGCGAAAGTAAGAAATTGAACCATTTAACTCATGCGAGAACAACTTTATAATGATTCAATCGATTTTATTTCAAGGACAAACCAGCCTCCACAAAGGCCTTGAAACAACTTAAACACATTAGACAAAAAAATATGGAATTTATATCACATTCTTCTGAAATTTTTCAAGATTTTAAAGCTATTTAAAACATTTTAGGAGTGTTTTATTCCAAATTTAAGGTGATTAGTTTGAGAAATGAAACATATCAATGATTTTTTTTATTCATAGATGAACTGACTCAATGACAAACAAAATCAGTGTGACACATCGCATACAAGTGCATCACTTCAAGTTCCCATACTTCACCATGGTATACAAAGAAAAGGTGGATAGAATAAGAGTGATATCAAGGTAGGTAGACTCGTGTGAGAGAACAAACAATTTGAAGATAAAAGTTAGCACGACTATCAAAGCTTTAGATGACGTCATGGAGTGAATAGATCTGCATCAGTATGGCCTACTTTCAGCTACATCACCAAGAGTCTCTAACCAGTAACAGTAACCAATAAGTTAGGTGTGCAAGTAATGGCCTTCTATTTGCTGGTTGTAGAAAACATTATCAGCATTTCAAGATCCGTTTTAAAGTTCGTGCTGTAACTATCACCTTGAAGGATAATGCAGTCTTTGTGACTGAGCTATCCATCTCCGAAACTATAGCACCACTTAATATGATCTTGGTGAAGAACTGCACATTTCTACTGAGTGCTTAAATATTACCAGTGTGTATAACAGTACACGATGTTCATTGTTCTTTTGAATAAATTCACCATCATAAATGTCCGAAAGAACAGACACTAGAAGATTTTGATTTAGCCGATGATCATTTATGTCTCATATTTTGTCGCACAAACTCGAAGATCTACCGCCGAAAACTAACAAGTAGGCAGAAGAGGCAGGGTAGAGAAGATGGTGGTTCCTTCAGGTAAACGTAGAGAAGACAGAGGTGATGAAGATACCTAACCAACAAGAACCGCAACAAGCACCAGTTACCATCAAAGGAATTAATCTAAATGAAGTTTTCTCTTTCACCTACCTAGGGACCATTGTTTCAACTACAGGCGACGAAACAGATGAGGATGACAAAGCCAGGATCGGAAAAGCAAGACGGGTCTTCATTCATCAATCTGAAATCAGTGTGGAGATCTACTGCACCGCACTCCACTCAGCATAAACAACGAGATCAGAATTTTCAACTCTAATGTCAAGTCAGTGCTTCTATTTGATGGTTCAGAGACTTGGTGCGTTACGAAAAGCATTTCCAACAAACTACAGACATACGTCAACAGCTGCCGCCTACGCTCATTCGATACTGAAGATCAGATGGATGGCCAGAAAGAATAAGCAAGGAGGAACTCCGGCTGGCAACGAACCAACCAACAACCTATAGTCCAACAAATATGCAGAAGAAAGTCAAGATGGATTGGACTAGACATGCTCTGAGAAGACCGTTTGGGGACATCACGTGACAAGCCAGGCCCTCGAGTAGAACCCGAATGGGAAACAACGAGTTTGGCGTCGAAGGGTGACATGGAGGAGATGGTTTGAAGAAAAAATGAAAGCTTGTTGGCAGTCGTGGGGCCAGGTTGAAAAGACTGTGGAGAAGAGAGTGAAATGGCGACGTGCTGTTGAAGCTTACGTTCCACTAGGAACTCAAAGGACAAATAATCATAAAATAATAAAAGAATAGAAGTCGTAGCAACTTCTTCGTTAAGACCATTATTCTACAATACAAATTAGAGATTCTCCTAGATTGCAACTGTTTGAAATTTGCTTTCAGTATTTCACTGTAGGGGTAATCAACTGATTCTTAGAAAGTCTAGTCCTTCCCTTAGTACCTTACAGGTAACTTAGACAGGAGATGACATCGAAACTGACTTCAGGGTGTCTTACATTCGACCGTACACATTAGAAAGGGGTATACAGCAATTCCAATCATAACCATAAATTAAAATGCGCATTATTCAACCTAAATCATTCATTGAAGCCTACCTTGGCGTTCTGAGGATAGGTGTTGCAGTAAACACTTCTGATCCGTCTGAAGTAGTCTCTTTTTTAGGCATCCATTGATCATTTCCTTCTAGTTGTAAATTTATCTCCGACGGTATCAATGAACACTTGTGTTTTCGTCTTTCCAAGATCACTGACCCTTTAACAGATAATGGATAGAGAATAAATTCAGGTAATAAAAATAATCCTACTTGTTATACTGCTGAAATTTATCTGTTGTTCTATCATGTTTAGCTTTTCATCATTGTCATCCAGATTTCGTCCAATCAACTCATCTGTAACATCATTATTATTATTATCCTCAATCGTATTGATCTGATCAACACTCCCACCTTGTCGATTCATTGTTTCCCATATTTGTAATTCTTGTAATATATCTGAGATTTTAATTAATCCATCTTTGTCTGTATCAAGTTCATTAAATAATGTTGATGATAATTCACTGGATAAATTGATTGTTGAACTTGAACATAGTTTTGTCCATTCAATTTTATTTAAATCACCGGAATTTTCAAAATCATAACTTTGTAAAAGCTTTCTAAGGTGTTCAACTGTCATATTTATGGATTATTCAGCTAAATAGCAATTAATATTATGATTGTTGTTACAATTCTTTTTTGAAAAATATAAGTTGTCATTAAATAGTATTATGTAGCTTTTGGAAAGGCTGAGAAAGACGAGGAGGAGGTATGGAAACATTCACCATCTTATTTTAAAAACAATTGGCACATTTTATGAATCTGGCATTCTTAAATCACACTCATACCCCTGTTTCTTCTCCAACTAATTACATTATTCCTTACATAGCACTTTTTTTAAAATTGAAGTAAATTATAACCACACACAAAATCAAGGTCATAGCTCACTTACGCATACAAACAAGCACTTCTGACTGGTTGATTTTATATATATATATATATATATATATATATATATATATATATATTACAGCTCTTATGACGTCATATCTTAGCGTATATATATATATATATATATATATATATATATATATATATATATACGCTAAGATATGACGTCATAAGAGCTGTAATATTCAAAGTATTATTAACACACCATCTTAAAGAGTAGAAAAGAACTGAAACTAGAACTACTCTTTGAATTTAAAGTGATATCATTTAAGAAATTTAAGTAGCAGCGCAAAATATAAAAAATAATGATCGATTGAAACATTGATCAAAGAATAAATGATTCATGACACTATAGACAAGTGAAAAGTCTTTTTCTTTGCAGGAGTATCTCCAAAAACTAGCATTTAAATTACCGCATCTTTAACTGACATAGTGATGTAAGTGAAAGTACGCATGTTGTTTGATAAGGAGATAAGTTATTTTATCAGTTTGGTATATGATTGGCACCAAGTGAATCTAGTTTTCATTGTAGTTTTAGCTAAAAGTTTAAAATGAGATCCATTTTATCAAATATGTTCTGGTTAGCAGGAAGTAACTGAGCCTGAAAAGCGAAGTGTAGCTGTTGTATTCTGACTTGATCAATACGAACATCATGAATCTAGGAATGACTCTTTAAACCAACCGCTTTAAACAACCCTCCACCTGAATAACAGAATATCGCTGAGTTAAAGTACTCTTAAAAACCAACAGACAACAGTCTTTGTAATCCGGAAAAAAAGTTTCTGACTTGATAAGACACTGTTGGGGAGTGTTTGTTGCGGAGGAATGAATTCCTCTCAGAATTTACTCATGGCTGACTTTCTTACCTTATAGAAGCGGATCTGACGTTTACTGAGGATCACGTGCTGCTGAAGATTTCAACAAGCATGGTGATGAAATGTTCACAGCAGAATATCAAATCTCCGAGAACACCAAGTCACCATCACCATCCTTATCCTGAGCTACAAATCTTTTCCATCATTCCAAATCGAACTTTATCGGTAGATATACTTTCATATTATTTTGTAGATTCTAGGGGGACGAAATTCAGAATGTCTGGTATCTAGCCGTCTTTACTACTGGATAGTTGTTTTATCCTAGTTCAGGACGCTTTCACAATCCTCGTCAACTTACGATCTCATGTATCCTGGTGTGTGTTACCATTAATTTATGATAATATAGTTCAATGGCTTATGTTTTCTAATCTCTGTTGATTCGTTATATAGAGTGAGAGTCAGTATAGTTCTTTATATCCTGTTTGAGTGATAAGCATCAGTTTCTGTTTAAAAAATTCAGAAATTTTAACAAAAAGCACATTACAAATGAGGATAGGATTGTTACTCGATTTGTTAGTTTTTGGGAAACCGATTGATTTCAAACTTCTTTCTAAAAAGATGAAGAATCTCCTTCATTTTTAATTTTTATACGAATGATGTTGAAGAGTTTCCACCCGTTCGTTCATATTTAACTATGTCAACAAAAAGTGAACCTAACGAAACCAAAACAGGTGTCAGTTATCAAAGTTTAATGACCAGTTATGAAATACTTCAGTATTCGCTTAGAGAAAGTCAAAGTGGCGCGTCAGAAACATCTTCATCATATTTATAACGACAGTTTAGCTGTGAAAGTTCATGCGTGCAACTCTTCGGTTCGCGCATTTGTCATATCTTTTTAAGGTAGCATTCACCAGGGACTGACATCAGTTGGGGAACCATTGGAAACCTGTGAATACCAGACAGCTGTTTTGTCCTAGTAAGGGACCACTCATCACTGCACACCCATGACCCGGACAGGGGTCGAACTCAGGACCTCCATGTTTTATAGTGGACGTGTTAACCATTCAGCCACTAGGTTCGATTTCACACCTTCCGACTTCCGTCAGTTCAAATCCCAATTAACTTTAAAATACATTACTGCATAGTGCTCATTAATGATATGCTTCTAGATGAATATCCTGAAGTTCGAATGGAAAGTCGTAACCAGTGAGGTCAGTCGGTCAGTAGGGAAGCGAATGCTGACTGAAGACCTTGGTCGATAGTCACCCTATATCGTGAATTGACAGAAACTAGAAACTAAAGCACCGAACTTCGACCCAGTGGCTGAGTGGTCTACGCGTTCATCCTGGGTTCTAAGAGTCCTGAGTCTGATTCCCAGCTTGGTTGTGGGTTCATGATGTCGAGAGGTCCCATAGTAAGACGAGACGGTTGTTTAGTTTCCATTGGTCCTCCAAATAACGTCAGTCTGTGGTGAATGCTACCTTAAAAACAAATATTCTTACTAAACCTGATGTTTTAAGACATTCAATATTTGCACTCTATCCCATTGCTACACCATATGAGTAACTCTAAGGTTTGATGACGTGTTTGGACACAGTTCAGATTATCAGTAACTGGACGATGAGTTGGACAGAGAATGAAACCGATAAAATGTAAAATTCCACATAAAAAGGAAAAAAAACATACGATAAGAAAACTCACCTAACTTCGGTGGCTTAGATACATTTTAAGCGTACTTCATTGGTGTTTCATACGATATTCATTGTTTTCGGTCGTGGGTGTAAACAAGCGGACAAATAGTTAGTTAGGTTGACATCTGTTGGTGCACCATGATTCCCCGGAGGCAGTTGAGAAAATCGTTATGGTCAGTGACTCAAAATATTATCAAACAGGACTCAAACTAGAAATCACTAGCAACCATGCTGTAGTTTCAATCCATATTTTACTATTGAACTATCAGAATGAGGTGATGATGATCAGTTACAATACTATTCATGTCAGTGGAATCCACTGCGGACGTTTCATCCTATTTAAGACTCGTCAGCTGGATGTACCTGCGCCCCAGTAAGTGATGTTCTTACCTTTGCTTCAATTGTCAAAGGGTTATGTACTACGCCGCTGGGGCATGATAGCCACCCTTTTCGCAACGGGTACCAGTTGCTGCTTTGATCCCTGTAATTCCCCGTTGCTTAACGTTTGTTGGCAGATGGACTGTTATGCGGATGCCTCGAAATGAGAGGCTCATCCTGAACTCCAATAACATGAATACAACATCCTGAATATCCTGTAGTATCGAGGCATTCACACGGGAGCTGGTCTGAGAAAGAAGGTCAGTTACTCTACTCTAAATAACTTCTTCTTTTCTTCCAATCATCGTGTTAATTTTCACCTTTACCTCTTGTTTTAATTATCGTAACACTGTTTTATTCTTTTGCACAAAGCGTTTTTTGTTTTCTTTAGTAAGTTCGGATTGTTTTCGATAAATAAGTAAGTATATTGTGTGTGTTAGTGGGGTAATCCTGAATTAAGGAAACGCTAGTACCAGTAGGGTGGTAGGTGATATGTAACAGCATACTTTTCATTCCCTTTTATCAGAGTTTAGCGATTCACAAGTGTAACGCAATCGCTAAGAAGAACAACTGAATATTGTAGTGCGTATTCCTTGAGACTGGAGTTTAGAGAGAAGTGAACGGAAAGTATGCATCTTAGTTGATAACAACTTCAACTTCAGCTACTCCGCTATCAAGAGTACTATAGTTTGCAGAAGACACATGCAGTTATGGCTAGTTGGCATGGGCGATTGACTTTCAGACAGTTGGAAACGGGTCCTAGACCTGTCGCAGCAACCAAGGTTAAAGAAGCCAGCTTTTACCACTATCTCTTATACAATAGTGGTAATACATGATTCAGTTCACGAACCTGTATGCGATCGCTCGGCTACACTTTATTTTTTCGTTTCATTTTCTTTCTGAGAACTACTTGTCAGTCAGCAACTCAAAATAAACAAAATTTCTAGGAAACTTACGTGTTAATTTGCATATTCCATATTACCATGGTATTTTCATGGCTCTTTTGGATTGCATGTCAGTAGACAATGCTTACATCATCACCAGAAACGTAGTTTTGATGCTGGTTCACGACAAAGCCAGTTTAGTAGATTTCTTAATCGAAGACACCTTCTTACGGATCTAATATAAGCTGGATTATTGGTTCGTCTTATACCTCATGATAGGTCGGTTGTTTCCAGTCTGCACTCTTCGATAGTTAATCACTGAATCTATTCTAGACTATCTTGGCTTGGCTGGTCCAATTGAGATGTTTTAGCTGTTGAACTAACTGTTAGTATTCATATGCAGATAAAGTTGAACGACTGTCGCTAAAGCAGGGGATATACTTGCGATGCATTTTGTGAGACAAATGTTACTGACAAACTTTGTCTACTGATGAGTAGTTAAAATGAATATTCTAAACTTTCAAAACCAAATGTAAAATTATATAATGATAGACAGTGGTTAGCAGTGGAATCCACGATGCGCATTTCGTCCCATTCGGGACTCGTCACATGGACCTGATACAAGCAGTTATACCAAATGTAAAGTCGGTGAGGACAAACAATGATCAAGCGGTAGTAACGCATCATGAACTCACATGGTAGTCGGGCAAAATCCTTGGTAATTGGAGTGAAATAAAAACCTGGTCAGTAGTCGGATCTCGTAGCTCAGTTGGTATAGCAATGGGCCGGGAACCCGGTGGTTGCTAGTTCGAATATGGCCACAGTCCAGGTTTTCATTTTACCTTCAATCATAACCCAGCATAAATGACAAACTTATCAGACAGAAAACATAAATAGCATATTACACAGGAGATCCAGAACAGACAAGACAAGATTGAACTGTTTAACAACTATTGATACCGGGAATCGGAGTAAAACTGGAGCACGCTAACAATTTATTACGTTAAAGGTTTTAACTACACCTGCCTCTTGTCCTGAGTTGATTCAGTATCATACAACCCAATGTAAGAGGATGTTAGAAATATTCAACCCTCCAATCTTATAAATATTCTTAGAGAAATGACCAACCACCCATCTTTTGTGCTCTGATATACTTGCTCTCAGAA